CCAAAAAAAAAAAAACAATCGGATAACTTCAGAGGACTTGTAATATTGCATAGATTATTTAGCTCGATAAGCGCCATTGTCCACATATTCCTCCTCTTAAGTCCAACTGAAAATAACAATAGGTTATTTCAATACGACATAGCAGTTTGGAACGAGGTGAGGGTGAGTAACTAATGACTGTCCCTTTAATTGTGCATCACTAGTCATTTTAGCGTCTGAGGCAGGAATACATCGACTGCCTGGAAAAGAGGGTGAAATGGAATAGTGGTCCAGACACAAATGACCCGTGAGAATTGAGTTTAGGCACCGCAGAGACAGCGATACCATTACCCAGAATGCATTTCAGTCCTCTGGAGTCTCTGTGCTGAGATTTCAGGCAAAATAAATGCATGGAAGCGATAGCAAGGCCGTCTTAATACTGTATGTGTGATAAGTGTTTGGCGTCCTTGTAAGCACCCAGATGTTTTTTTTTTTCCAGCACAGCGTCGTGAATAACTAATTTGTTGTCGAAGATTCCACATTTCTAATTTACATACTGAGACTATGAAACAATGGGCTTTTCAAGCTGCTGTACAGCAAGTTCATGGTATGTATCTATGTTGTAATCTGAGGTTTCAACTTCACCTCCATCTGTCACTTTCTACCAGCTCTTCTGTCCATCTGTTGATGGTTTCTGTAAAGATCCTCTTTATCTATCATCACCCCTGCCCAGTTATTTGCACTCTCAACTGTATTTTTTAGTTTATTTTACATTTAATAGACATTTAAAACATTTGTACAATTAAAGGGCTAGTTCACCCCAAAATGAAAATTCTGTCACCATTTACTCATTTCATGTCATTCCAAGTCAATTATGAGATTTTGGGCTATTTTGCTTCCAAAACATCCAAAATGCACATTTAAGTGTTTATTTTATTACATTTTATCTATTCAAGTTTGTAGATTTTAATTACAACACCAAACGAGTTTTTCTTGCATCCACTAGACTATCCAGTTTTATTATTTTTTAAAATGTTATAAAGGTTTTTACAGAATGGTTTGTTCATGTAACATTTGCCAGGATGTTACATAGTACATACTGTATGTAGCATTTTATTCATAAAAATATGATAAACGTTTCTTTTTTCTGGCTGTTGGCCGGTTGTAGATGTCCTTAATGACGAGCCTCTGCTGCGGTTCTCTCTGCCAGCAGCCCTGCATGAGGAGATGCACTTCCTTCGGGCAGGTGCGTGGCCGTTCAAGCTCTCGCCCCTGTGTGATGCACTCAATGGCCTGGAAAGAGGGTAAATATTTCATATTTACTGGTAGACAAATGGAAAAATATGGAAGTAGTAGCAGTAGTGTTACTTTAGTCAGCTACTTCAAACTATTATTTTATATAAAAATCTGTATGCCATTAATGTTATAATGCCATAATGTGACCCCATTTAAATAATCGAAATGTCAGTGTGTGCCCTGTTTTATTTAAAGAACAGGGAACTATCAAAGTTTGGTCATGTTTGTGGAAGTGTATCATGGCATGAACAAATGAGATCTCTGAGGACCTCAGAAAAAGATTTGATGTTGTTCATCAGGCTAGAAAAGGTTTCAAAGCCATCTCTAAAGAGTTTGGACTCCACCAATCCACGATCAGACAGATTGTGTACAAATGGAGGAAATACAAGACCACCGTTACCCTCCCCAGGAGTGGTCCACCAACAAAGAACACTCTAAAAGCAAGACGTGTAAAAG